ATGATCTTAGCCATTTTTCAGCAGTGCAAAACTTTTCCGTTGACATTTTGCACGACGTTTTTGAGGGAATTATTAAATATGGTGTGTGCCAAATTTTGCTCTTTTATATAAATGAAAAAACATTAGATTTAGAAATTATAAATTTAAGAAAAATGAATTTTCAGTATGGTGTATCCGAAATAGGAAACATTTTTCCACCATTTCAAATTAGACACTTGAGGAAAATGAATATTAAGGCCACTGCGAGAGAAATTTTAACTTTTATTACTTATTTTCCGTTAATGGTGGGAGATCTTATTTCACCAAATTGTCCCGTTTGGAAGTTTGTAATAAATCTTTTAAAAATAATTGATTACATTACCCTTTCTGAATATTCTTCAAAAGAATTAAATATATTAAAAGAAGCTATAGAATATCATAATAAAGAATACACAGACTTATTTAATGACACCTTAAAACCAAAATTTCACTTTTTAAATCATTATTTTAGAATTGTTAGCGAGTCAGGACCCTTGAAGTATCTGTGGACCTATCCATTTGAATCAAAGCACAAAACTTTAAAGTCATATGCAAAAAACATGACTTCTAGAAGAAATATTTTGTCGTCTCTTTCAATAAAAATTTGTATCAGTTATGCTCAATACCTACAAAATTTTAAAATTGAAGAAGTAGCTCTTAGCAAATCAAAGATGTAAAATTAATTAATCAAAGCTCAATTACAAATCCTCCCATTCAATCGCATAAGTTAAATGATAAGACCTACCTTAAACCAAAAATGTATTTTTAACAAATGTAATTATATTTTATGTTCTAAAAACGGAATATATAAGCTAGATTTAACTACTTAAACCCAAATTATCACAAAATACAAAATAAATATCAAACTATATTTATAGAAAAAAAACCGGTATTTTAAATTTCAGAAATTATTTCATATTTATAGAAAATATATTTCTATATCAAAGAAAACACATTTCTATTTTTAAGAAAAAATATTTTTAATAAATAGAAAAAACATTCCTCAGAATCAGAAAGAAAATTTCTAAATTAAAGAAAGAAAATTTCTCAATTTAAGAAGCTCTTGCCCTCAGCTTTAGAAAAAATTTCTAAATTCCAGAAAATTAAATGCTTAAAGATTAGAAAGCAGAAACCCTTAAATTTAGAAAAAAATTTCTAAACTTCAAGGCGAGCTGCCATTGGCTTAAAAAGTTTGGCGATTTTCTAGAATTTAGGGCGATTTTTTTTCTGAGTGTAGGGTCGGAATCGCTTCCTTCTACTTGTTACATACTTTTGCACGAATCTAATATACCCTTTTACTTTACGAGTAACGGGTATAATAAAGCAGTAACTTTAGCAAAAAATTAAAGAAATGGCACGTCAAATCTGGCAATTTTCGGTTCTATGAAACTAAAAGAAAAATTCTTCCGATTTTTATGTGGTTTTAATACACTCAGGGAAAAAATTGTTCTGATTGTGTCTGAAAACGTGTCTGCAAGAGAGAATTAAAAAATTAAAAATTAAAAATAAGTCTTATTCTTCAATTTTTATTATAAAAATTGGAAAATACGACTTAAAATTTAAAATAAGTCTTATTCTCCAATTTTTATTATATAAATTAAAAAGTGGTCTTATTCTCCAATTTTTATTATATAAATTGAAAATAAGTCTTATTCTCCAATTTTTATTATAAAAATTGAAAATAAAAATTGAATGCAAATATCTTTTAAACCAATGGGAATATGGGCTAAAATCTAAAAACAGGATTGATCTTCGAGTCAATACCTTTCATATGAGCTATGACATAACTATACCCAGGGATATTTTAAGGACTTATAACGCCTTTTAATGTTTTACATATGTAACTTCTATGTTCGGTGGAAGTACATGACGTCAAAAAAACAATTTAGTACCAGAAAATCCAAATGATAAGAATAAATATCCCAGTCGAAATGCACCTGTCCATCTGCCTGATTTTGCATAAAGTAATTAAAAAATGAAAGTAGCGAATTTTCCAATTATTTATTAGTATATTTAGTTAAGTTAAGTTATGTATGATCCACACAAATAAATCCTCTTGTTCCTAAGAATTCGCGGTTTTTAGAGAATCGACATAGAATACATATTTAGGTATCTTAAGTAAAGTTATGTAAGATACACAAAAATATATCCTCTTGTTCCTAAAAATTCACGGATTTTTAAAAATTGATCTCTTTAGTTAAATTGTGTATATTCCACTCAAGCTCCTCTTATTACTAAAAATTAGCCGTTGTTGAAAAACCATAAATATATAAACATATAAGAAAAAAATAATAATTCGTTTCGGACATCATCACCATGAGTGGGTATAATTCACAATAACAACAAGAAAGGAAGCTAGCTTCGGCCAGCCGAAGCTTATATACCCTTGCAGATAATTCCTATTAATTTACAAATCGCAAAAATGTTTATTTTCCTATTATTTCTCATTAATTTTGCGTTCGTTTCAATGGCAGCTATATGATATAGTAGTTCGATTTTGATAAAATTAAAATCGAAATTCGAAAATATTTGAAAAGAGTTATATCCTAGAGTAGAAGAGAATACAATAAAAACCAACGAAGCAATAATTTATTTCCTATTATATTCCCATTAATTTTCCGATCGTTCCTATGGCAGCTATATGATATAGTCGTCCGATTTTAAAAAAATTTTATTCGAAATTCAGAATTAGATAAAAAATGACATTTCCAAAAGTAGAATGTTATAGGTTCAAAAACACCCAAAATATAATTTTTTTAAATTTTTTTTCCCGATTGTTCCTATGAGAGCTATATGATATAGTTGTCCGATCCGGCTCGTTCCGACTTATATACTACCTGCAATAAAAAGAAGACTTTTGGGAAAGTTGTATCCCGATAGCTTGAAAACTGAGAGACTAGTTTGCGTAGAAACGGACGAACAGATGGACAGACGGACAGACGGACAGACGGACGGACAGACGGACATGGCTAGATCGACTCGTCTAGTGATGCTGATCAAGAATATATATACTTTATGGGGTCGGAAACGTCTCCTTCACTGCGTTGCAAACTTCTGACTGAAATCATAATACCCTCTGCAAGGGTATAATAAAAGTAAACATACAACCTGGTTTAAGTATATTTTAATAGTAATGAGAAATATTTTAGCCAAAAAAAAAACTTGGTAAAATCAACTGTAATAATTGTCAAACAGGCCCCAACCAGCAAAATTGTCAATTATACTAAGTAAATAGTCATTTCACAACAACAAAATACACACAATTAGCAAAGACACAAACCCAAAGGAAAAACAAAGTACACGTAACTATTTTAATAGTTACGTAAATATCTTTGTTGCTCAATTTTACCAAGCAAATTTTTTTGTGTAGGATTTTGTATTTCTCGTTAGGATTGTTAGCGTTCCGCAAAAGTTTGCAGCGCCAACATTTGTGTTTCAGAGCTACAAATATTTATTTTAATTGGAGCATAAGCCGTATTCCTTACAATACCTTATGTCAAAAGATTTAGAAATCTCCAGCACACCAAGTGACTCAATGGCATACCACTCGGCAGCGCAGCGATAAAAGTAATTAAGCGCTCTTCGACTGCAATGCAAATTGACCTGCTAATCAAAGTCCTCACGCAATGTGCAGCATAAGCGCCTAGGCGATGCAACGGCCGTTTGATAATTACGGGCGATTGTTGCTAACTGCATAGCGTAATTTAAATTGACCACAAACGACGGCGGACAGCAGAAGCGGCAGCAAATCAGGCGTGCCGGGAAACCGCTCGAGTGACCAAAACTGTTTCACGGCTTTGCGGGGCTCGTGGCCAATTAACTTTCAATTAATCAAAAGCAATGGAAGCTCGCCAATGCGCTCAGTTGATTTAATGCACGGTGAGCAAAGCTACGCCAACAATTGGTGTAATCATAAATTCAGATGCGTGCTTTGTCTGTCGGTCGTCAGTTGTTGTGTGGGAAAAACGTGCTGGAGCGGAAAATTATGGCCGCGGCAGTAATGCCGAGCGCCTAATAATATTATTAGTCAGGCAGGCAATCTGGCTCTTCATTTCGTTTACTTTTTTGCCGATTTTTATTTTCTGGTTTCTGGCTGTCGCTCTGCTGGAAAGCGCAGTGCTGCAAGGCCGGCAATCAACTTTGGCTTCGGGACCGCCCCTGGTTGTTGTCTACGTTCTGGTGACCTCCTTTCGGAGTCGGAGCCCAAACTCGTTTTCATTTCGTTGAGCATTCTGCACACATTCTGCGCTGCGACGACGCCCTTGCAGGCATCCCATCCACTTGGCTTTAACCCCCCACTGCCCCCGTCCAGTTGACAGTGAAATTGGTTTCAAATTGGGCACTCTGCACGATTCTCCTTCGCAGCGTTCTCCTCCGTCCCTCCGCCACTAACTCCTCTTATGAATTATTGTAAATTTTGTGGTTTTTTATCTGGTTTTTCAGAATGTGAAATTGCAGCTGGTGGTGCTGCAGAGTACTGATGCTGCACCAGTTTTGCTGCCGCCGAGGCGGCGTTTCTCTAGCGGCACAACCGTTGCTCGCCCCAAATCACTGAGTCGGGCTTTCGTTTTGGTCAGTCGATTTGCATATACTACCATGTTTAGCGGCTGTAAACGAAATTTATCAGAATCGAAAATAGGCTGGATAGGAGCCGAGGAACGTTACCAATTTTGTAAAGTGATTGTGGATTTTGTGGGACATAACGGGTTAAAAAAGTTGATACTGGAATATGTAAATGGTAATGGAGAGTGAAATGATTATCGTTTAAAGTTTTTAAGTTAAAGTTTCCATTAAACCTTTCAGCAAATGGTAAAGCTTTTTAAGAAATGTTTTCATGCTAGTCCCAGAACTTTAATTTATTCCTTTTATATTGAAAACTTTGTATATATAATTTTTAAACAATAATTTTCTTCACAACTTTTTAATTAGTCCCAACTTATTATATATTATTTGACAATTAAATATAAATATTTTCTACTTACCCATTATAAATTTCATCCTATGATTAAAACGAAAAAATCCCAAAGCACAAAAGCATGCCCAATTCCGTGTAAATCCTCTAAATGGGCGATTTTTAAGTCTCGACTGACATTTGGTGGCACCAAGCGGTCTCTTTGAGATAATTTCCAACCGAGCGTAGCCCAAAATTTTCGTAATTTCCATTTGATTAAGTGAGCGGCGTCCGCCACAAACCAAAAAAATAAGACTGACAGTGGTCAGTCAATGTTTGCTCAAGCTTGGCAGCTGCTCAAATGAGTTGTTAACATTAATGCGCATTAACCTGTCTTTTGTTTTCGCCGGCATTCGTTGGGCCGCGGCGACTTGGCCACATTTAGAGCGGCTTGGAAAATGCTGTTTTGGTCTTGGCCATGTGCCACAATTTCTGAAACTTTTCACTGCAATCGTGGTGGCTCGGCGGTTTGGGGTCTTGACTGCTGTTTCGGTTTCCTAACTGTTTACTTTCACTGTCGGTGGCTGTTGCCGATGTTGCCGTTGCTCTGGCTTTTTCTGTTGCCATCAAAAGCCTGCGGGGTTTATTGGATTTTTGTTAACCTGTCTTGGCCAGACCCCAGTCATAATTATTTACACCTATTAACGGGCAAATCTTTGAAATTCGCTGGGGCAACTGGGTCGCAAATCAATTTCACTTGAAATGAAAGCATTTCGACCCAAGATGGACTTGTCAACGGCCAGTTTTCGTCTTCGTTTTGGAATTATGCATAGAGCTTTCGGTTTTGTCGTTTCGCTTTCACCCCATGGTATGCCATAAATTATAGAGACTTGTCTTGATTTTTCATTGATTTTTTATTTATTAATCTTCCTTGCTTGTGTTTTTTCAACTTTTTTTGTGTATTGTTTTTCATCATTTTTTTGTTTAATGACATGCATGTGTGACAGAGAGAGGGGTATTGTAATCTATGGAATTTACATTTTTTGTGAGTGAGTTTTGTGATCTGTGACTTATCCACATCTGCAGCTTCACGCTTCTTCTTCGTCTTCATCATCATCTTACTACTGTTGCCGGAGTTACAAAGTTGTGAAAGCGCCGTACGACTTTGCTTAAAATATTTAAATTAAAGTGCGACGTGCTGGCGACTCGAAACTTGCGGCCGTTGGCTAGAGAGCCCTCCAAATGTCACAAACAAGGTATTTTTAAGTTGATAATTAAAAATCTGTTTAGGTCCACAGGGCAGGAGAGCCCGACACCAATCGGGCCGACAAGCGGTTCGAGTCGCTCGGATGCATAAAGTACGCTTAAGGAGTTAAGATATTGAAAAAAAATATTTTAACATTACGGAGAATTACAGGGTGTGAGTAGCAGTGGGGTTTTTGGGAAAGTAGAGCGCTAGAAAGTGACAGATGCAGAAGCAGCAGAGGACGGCGGAAAGAGATGGCAGATAGGAGAAATGAGAAAGTTGAAGAGTCGAAGTAGAAGTCGAGTGTCGAGTGAGGAAATAGTGGCTCTGAGGCAGAGCCGGAAAATGAGTTCATTTTGGTGTGGCGATGTGTGTTCGGAGACCTATGGCAAGTGATGGCATGCAAATGACCAAAACTATGACTCAGTAGAAGGTGAGAAAATGAAGGATAGATAGGATAGATTTGAAAGAACATTTAGCATAGATAGAATGATGGAGATAGAGATATAGATAGAAATAGAGATATAGTTAGAGCTAGAGGAGTTAAAGCTAATAGTAGGCATGCTTGTTGCTGGTATTGTTGTATTGTAAGACTAGAATTGCATGTGAAGAACATAGTTGAACAGGCAGATAATAGAGTACAGATATAGATTGTTGAGTTAGGATTTGTACGTTGCTTCGATTGCATGGCAATCGGCAGAGTTTTGGTATAGGCAGTGTACGGTATACAGTTTAGGATGGAAGCACAGATATAGAGAGAGTGAAAAAAGATGGATATGTAGATGTAGATAGAGACAGAGATAGTGAGAGAGGTATTGATAGACTGACAGATGAGAGTGCATTGCAAATGGATGCAGTTGGGGTGATCGAGGTGCCGATGGTTCGGGGAAGTGCTGTGCGAGCTTAGACTTAAGGCTGAGTATTTGCAATTTGTGGGTTAACTCTCGCTGGCCGCTCTTTTTACAAACTTAACTTTAGCTTCATCAGTTTTAACAACTAACATATATAGTTCTGATTCTGTTCTGGTTTCTGTCCGGTTTAACATTATCTTGCGTGTGTGTGATTCATTCTTTTTCGTTTTCATTGCTTGGAGAAATAAATAAAATAAATTAAATTAATAAATTAATTAAAACGAACGATAAATAATGTGTGTTCCTCTTTGAGAGTCTCGTGTGTTGTCGCGATTCTGTCTCCGATTCTGATTCGATTCTTCTTTTTGAGTGATTTTGATTGGTTTGTGGTGTGCTCGTGATCCTGTGACTTAGGCCTGGACGGGCTTCTGGGCACCATAGGCCAGGTCCTGGGCGTCGATGGAGCGTCCCCAGCCGCCATGGCCGCTGCTGCCGTAGGAGGCCGAGGAGGCTCCGGCGTCGGCGCTGTAGCCACTGCCGTACGAGTCGTGGCTCGTCGAGTGGCTGCTGCTGTGGTGTGGGTGGGCCACCACCTCGTAGGTCACGTGCTTCTCCTGCGACAGCAGCTTCTTGAGCCCGATCACGGCGGACAGCACCAGTGCGATCTTACCGATGAGCAGGGCCTTGCCGGCGATCAGGGCGATGGCGCCCAACAGCAGGGGCAGCAGGGCAGCGGCCTTCAGGGCGACGAGGGCGAGGATGGGTCCCAGGATCTTGGCGGCCTTCTTCTTCTTGCCACGGCTCTCCTCGGAGGCGTTGGGGTCGTTGGAGCCGAACAGGGACTCGGAGGCATCCTCGAGGGCACGGCCCGTGGAGCTAACGGCCTGCACGATGTCGGCGCCCTTCAGCTCCACCTTGATGGTGTGCGAGTTGAGGAAGCTGCTGATGCGGTTCAGGGCCAGGGACTCGAACGACTCGTCGCCGGAGATGGAGCGGGCGGCCTCCTGCTGCGGGGCGTCCGGGGAGCGGACCACGGTCACGCCTTCGGTCAGGGCGAACTGGTCGCGGGCGCCGAGGACCTTGTCCACGAAGCTGAACAGCTTGTACTTGACGCACGAGACGGAGTCCTTGCGCAGACAGTCGCTGTAGATGCTATCCATAATGTCGTTCTCGCCGCCGATGGCGTTGCGGGCGTGGCCGCGCGTCTCCTCGGCGGGAAGGGCGGCGCTCAGGGCGACCAGACACAAGACACCGAAAGTAACTTTATGGCTTGCCATTTTGCTTTTTGAATTGGTTTTTGTTCTTTCACGGTTTTTAAATTGGGTTCTTTGGATAGTCCTTTTGAGGGTCCACACTACACTTTCACGTAGTTCGGCGGCGAACGCACTTTCTCTTGAAGGGAAAACTGTATTTTTGTGTGTTTTTCGGTCTTGGCTGACTGCTGCTGCCGTATAGCTGCTCAGACGGTTAAGGATTGAATGATACAATTTTCCACCGCACACGACAATTTATATACGGCGGCAGTGGCAGCGACTTCGGCATCGGCATGCTCATCTGCTGCGAAAGCATTTCTCCGTCCCGCCCGCCCCCTGGCCCCCAGCAGTGATTCCCCCAAACTAGTCGTGCAAGTTTCTCGCTTAAGTCTTTCGTTTGGCCAGCCAACGGTAATGCGCAGTCGGCATCGGCGTCGCCGTCGGCAGCGCTGCAGCGGTACAAGCAGCGGCATCTGGAAAAGCATTGTTACTGTAATTTGTAAGCTGTCTCTGCCGGTGCGCTGCTTTCGCCCGAAGTTCATGTAACATTGTCAACAGTCGCAGCCTCCTGCCGGTGGGAAACCAGCGAAATAAACAACAGCCACTACCACGGCCAGCTACTTTTACCCGCCGGGAGAGCGGGCCAAAAAGTGCTGAAAATCGTAGTCGTAATCTTAATTGTCTGGGCTTTAATTGAAAATCAGTTTTTGTAAAAGTAAGTAAAAGCATTTCCCTTTCAAACTTAGTCGAGCGCCTGGAGCGAGCCGAACAAATGAACAGAATGGTGGATTCAAAAATCAAAAGTCTGTCATTCCAAAAAAAAAATATTGAAGGTATACCTAAGAAGTATCACAATCTCCAACGTTTACATCGATTTCTAAAGTACAGTTCTTGAAGTCCGCAAAATTTAATTGTTTGCAGATTTTCAGATTAGATAAAGAATATTTCAATTTAATATACATTTTCAAAATACTCAAATTGTATTTCGAATGAAAAAACTTTTATGCCTTTGGTGAGAATTATAATTTCAGTCAGAAGTTAGGAGCCCAGTAAAGAGATCTTCCGACCATATAAAAAATAAATGTTATTGATCAGCACAAAACTGCCGAGTCGATCTAGCCATTCGCACCTGTCTTTCTGTGTTATTTATCATTAAATTGTATTCTACTTTTTACGGTAAAGTTTTCATTTTTAAATTCCTAAATTTCCAAAAAATTAAAATACATAACGACATTTTGCCTTGACCATAAAAGTTTAAATAGTAATTTAAACTAAAATGTTGTTTTGTGGTTGATTCCTAACAATTCAATTCAGTAAAAATTGATCTGGTAAATTGTGGAGAGTGCAGCACTAGAAGAAGTCAATAAATAATTTAATTCTAAATAATTCTAACGTGTATTTAGGGGTTAAAAACCCCGTATCGGGGCTTTTTAATATTTAATAATTTAATTTAATTTAATAATTTTATTTAACTTTTACGCTGTCAAAGCATTTTAAAAGTACCATTCCATTTTTTTTATACCCCATACTCAAATTAATTTAAAGATTTTTTAAGGAAAAAAAAGAAAATTGTAAATTAAATAAATTGCATGTTTATGTGAAATAATTTTCAAAACTTAAATATTCCAAATATTTTTTATCAGACAGGTAAAAAATCATATAATCGTCTCTTGAAATCGAGATACTTCGCTGAAAAGTGTCATGTTGAAATAAAGATGACAATGACCAATTGATATCAGTTGGTGTTTCTCTATGTGTGGTCATAAGATATTCATAATAAAACCAATCACGTTCTGAGGGCAGGGAATCTATGCCAAAACCAAGTCACCAACCAGAAAGCAGTGACAATAATAATAATCATAACCCCATTCAGAAAAGGGAAAGTCGCGGATACATCTGCGAGAAATGTGTGGTATGCGGTGGTCTGCCCTTCCTCACGATAGCTGTGCAAATTTTATACGTTGTCAAATAAGATGAGGCCAAAACAAACAGCTGCCATGGCCAACTAGCAACACACATCGGCGGCGTCCAGCAGGCTGAGTTATCGACTCGAAAATACCAGTAGCACGACCCACAGCTGTCCCCAACTAACTAAGTAACTGGCTATAGTGACTAACTAACTGGCTGGGACAGGTAAAAGTACGCAAATAGACAGTGACCACGAGCCCAGGCAAATGAAAGTCATCATCTCATCCCCGGGCGAGAGATTTTGGAGTTTGGAAATGCGAGTGGATCCATGGATTGCATCGGATCTCGGCAAATGACCGCGAGCAGGATGCGGTGCCACGGACCCCACGAAAGTGTTGAAAATGGTTAATTAAAGTGTTATGAATGTGTGAAAATGCAATGAAAATGCGCTTATGAATTGGCCCCCAGTAGCGGCGGCCGAACGGTGTGAAAACGCTTTTCCAGATCAGCCTAAGCTCAGCTCAGACTGTCTTTTCTCAGTGAAAGCGAATTTGGTATGCATCTGTTGGCCGGGAACCGCCACGCATTGCGTGAATCTCAAACTCACAGAAAGAAAAATACCTTAAATATATATACCTCCCCCAAAAAAATTTTACCAGAAGCATTGTGAAGCTGTACAAATTTTTAAATTATCATTAAAATTTTATATACACTTTACTCAGCTAACCTGTTTCATTCAGGGACCGTAAATAACAGTTATTTGAGACTTATATTTTAAAAAGCCTACTGAGATTTTTTCAATTTTTTATCAACAATTTTACTGGTTTTTATGCACTTTATAGACATGGACAAATAACAGTTAATTTGCTTTCCAGATTTGTTGAAATGCATATGCTTTGTGGACAAGAGTAAAAAGAGTCTTATTTTTGACGCTTAAAACAAAATATCACAGTAGTCTTTTTAAAATAAAAGTCTCAAATGACTGTTATTTACGGTCCCTGGTCATTGAATTAAATGATTAAATTAAATTTGTACTTAAAATATTTTTAAAATTCTAATTTGTATTGAGAAAAAAAGATAACAATGCTTACACTGAAAAAATTCCAATATGTGGGCGCCAGAATTTTGCGGTTCGTAACAGTTAGAGTGGTTAAACTAAATTAAACTTTCGCTGCGTAAAAATCCCGTGGAATCCCAAATTTTTAGCCTTTACAGTTTCCGAGACTTTAGAGTTCCTACAAACAGATGTACGTACGGATATGGCTGAAAAGGCTCGGCTAATGATGCTGATCAAGAAATATTTAAAGATTTGGAAACGGGTTTTTTAAGGAACAACATTAACCCTTTTATTCTGCGAGTCACACGAAACCAAATATAAGTCAGAGTATATAGAGTAAATACAAAATAATAAATATCAAAAACAAAAATAATGATAACTTACACAGTGCAACATGAAAAATGTAACCGCAATTCTGATTTCATGGGCGGAAAGAACTCATCGAAATAAGCTAAAACCCATTTGGGTTGAACCCAAGGAACTAAATTGACAAATGACTCTTGCGCACTTAGCACATAGTGCACCTAGCGCGTTAAAAAAATTGCCTAATTTTTCGATTTTTAACGCGCTAGGTGTACGTCTTCGCAAGAGTCATTTGTCAATTTAGTTCCTTGGCTTCATAGCTACATAATCACTGAAGACTTGATAGTGAAATTTTAATCGGTTCACAAGATATGGCCGTTACAAATAAATTTTGTATGTAAAACTTTAACTCACTATAGAAACCAGAGAACCCCAAATGGGTTTTAGCTTATTTCGATGAGTTCTTTCCGCCCATGAAATCAGAATTGCAGTTACATTTTATAACCCTAAAAATGTTGCACAGTGTTATTGACTGAAGAGGGCATTCTTTTTAATACTTATTTATATTTAATATTTCAATTGTTATTTTATTCAACAAAACAAACAAAGTAGGGTAAAAACCTTGAAATCGAATGGGAAATCAGAGTTTTAGGCTTCCTTTAAATTTAACAGGCAGACGAGAAAACGGCCCTTAGCATGTAAAATCGATGTATGGTATGGCAATAATAAATAGAAACAGTTTGTTTCAATTTAAGCTTATATACCAGAAGCTTATATACCCTTGCAGATCATTCCTATTAACTTACAAAAAATTTAAATTTCGGATTTTTTGAAATTATTTTTTCTATCCTTCCCTATAGTAGCTATATAATATCCGATTTTTTTTAAATTTAATTTAAAATTCGGAAATATTAAAAAAATCATATCCTAGAGTAGAAGAGAATACAATAAAACCCAACGGAGCTATAATTTGTTTGCAATTAATTTCCCATTAATATTCCGATCATTCCTATGGCGCCTATATGATATAGTCGTTCGATTTTGATCAAATTAAAATTGAAATTCGGAAATATTAAAAAAAAATCATATCCTAGAGTAAAAGAGAATACAATTAAAACCAAAGAAGCTAAAATGTATTTCCTATTACTTTCCCATTAATTTTCCGATCGTTCCTATGGCAGCTATATGATGTAGTCGTCCGATTTTTTAAATATTTAATTCAATATTTTATTCTATTATTTATATTTAAAAAAATAATATTCCCCAGGAGTAGAGGGTAATATTTCAAAAAACACCGGAACGATCGGAAAATTATTGGAAAAGTAATGGGAAATAAATTCTAGCTTCTTTGGTTTTTATTGTATTTTCTTCTACTCTAGGATATGACTCTTTTTAAATATTTCCGAATTTCAATTTTAATTTGATCAAAATCGGACGACTATATCATACAGCTGCCATAGGAACGATCGAAAAATGAATTGGAAATTAATTGGAAACAGATTCTAGCTCCGTTCATTTTTATTATATTCTCTCCTACTGTAGGATATGTTTTTTTTCGAAATTTAACAAAAATCGGATGACTATATTATATAGCTGCAATAGGGAAGGGACAGAAAAATTCATGTAAAAACAATACAAAATTTAAAAGTTGTTGCGATTTGTAAGTTAATAGGAATGATCTGCAAGGGTATTTAAGCTTCGGCTGGCCGAAGGTAGCTTCCTTTCTTGTTTAACGTTATTTTACCGATCCTTTCTATGGGAGCTAAAATATAGTTGTCCGATCCGTTCGGTTCCGACTTATATACTACCTGCAATAGAAAGAAGACTTTTGGGAAAGTTTCAAGCCGATAGCTTAAAAACTGACAGACTAGTTTGCGTAGAAACGGACAGACAGACGGACGGACAGTCGGACGGACAGACGGACAGTCAGACGGACAGACGGACAGACCGACATGGCTAGATCAACTCGTCTAG